TCCAATCTATTATCTGTTCATTCTTGTGTCAGTCCATGGTCGTGACATAGAGAAACGCGACATAGAGAAGTCATTTTTAGTTTGGGGTACACAGCCAGTTGTTTCCTGAGAAAGTAGTTTATTGACCACATTCCCACCTGGGGTGCGTTTTTCTCGAATCTGTTGGCAGAGAGTCCTTGTAAGGGGAATGGGTGCTTTTTAAAAATATATATTTATTATTTTGTGTGTATCATCAAATCGGATCTGACTGGTACAGGAGGAAATTGCCCCTCCTTCTTCAGCAGAGGATCTGGTGGATTCGGACCATGTATCTCTGGGATTGCAGTGCAGCTTCTTGCCACTAGGCCACCAGAGCTCCCTGGAATGGGTGCTTTAAACATCTCATTGTGAATTCAGGAGGCAGTTGTCCTCTCCATGTGCAATCGGGCGAAGGGGCCCCAGGTCACACGTGGTCTCCTGGTCCTGGCTCCCTTCCTGTTCCCGAGGCAGCCTTCTACCCTTTCACATCTAGCTAAGTATCTCAACAGACTGTCTGGAGTCAGAACCATTTCACTGCTGACCCTCCAGCCATTTTCCTGGGCTATAAATCACATGGGTGGAGCTTGCCCATCTTTCTCCCTCAGAGCTGCTGGTGGATTCCAACCAGCCGTGTTAGGTTAACCGCACAATTTCCTAAAGACTCTGGCACCAGAGTTCCCTAGCTGGGCTACTGCTGTTGCCATTGGGTGTCAAAAGAAAGGTGCCTTTGAGTATGACCCATTGTTGTTATGTGCCAGCAAGTCACCTTTGACTCATAGCAGCCCAAAGTACAACAGCTCTGAACCCTGCCTTATCCTGAGCCTGTCTCTCTAATCTGACACAACTATTCCTATTACTTCAGTTACTGTGTCACTCTATCTCATCTGGGGTCTTCCTCTTCTGTACTGTCCCTCCACTCTTCCAAGCATGCCATCCCTCCCCAAGGACCGGTCCCACCTAGCTACATGCCCAAAGTATGTGAGATGGAGCTTCAAAATTCTTGTCTCCAAGGAGCTACCTGATTTCACCCTCACCAGGACAGACCTGTTTGTTCTCTTGGCAGACCATACTATCTTCAATACTCTTCCCCAGCACCACACCTCAAAGGCATCAATTCTTCTTTTGTCATCCTTAGTCATTGTCCAGCTCTCTGATGCATAGCAAGTAATTGTGAAGACCATGCCCTGGATTAGCTGCTGCACCTTAGCCCCTAGACTGACATCATTATTCTTTAAAACTTTGGAAAGGTCCCTGACAGCAGACTTCCCCAAAGCAATTAATCTTTTTATTTCCTGACTGCTGGTGCCAAGAGACCTATGTTGTTGTTATTGTGTACTGTCAAGACAGAAGTGACCCATAGCTGGCCCTCCAGCAGGTTCTCAGAGGCAGTAAATCACATAAGGAGACTGGCCATTCTGCTCTCACAGAGCAGCTGGTGGCCTTGAACCGCGTGCCTTTGAGACTGCAGCAGTTTCTTGCCACTAGGCCACCAGAGCTCCACAGGAGACCCATAGTGTCCCTACAAACAATAACATGAACCCTGTCCTATTCTGTGCCATCCTCACAAACTCTTACACACTTGAGCCCATAGCTGCAGTCACTGGGTCAATCCGGTTGAGGGCTTCCTCTCTTTTGCTTACCCTCCACCTTTCTAAGAATGATCTCTCTTTAGAAGGAACAGTCTCCTCTTGCAACATATCCTAAGTATGAAAAATGAACTTTGGCATCTTTGCCTCCCAGGAGCACTGTGGTTGTACCTTTGCAAGACTTATCTATTTGTTACTTTGTCAGTCTGTGAGATATTAAATACTCTTCTCCAACACCACAACTCAAAGGAATCAACAATTCTTCTGTAATCTGTATTCATTGTCCAGCTCTCAGACATCAGCAAGTGACTGAAAAGGCTATGACCTGAATAAGGCACACCTTAGTCTTCAAACGGACATCATTGCTCTTTAGGGCAGAAATAGGCAGGAAGGAAGCTGTGGCCTGGCCAAAGCACATTTCTAAAGCTTTGGGGACGGTGGAGCACAGGAACGCTCAGAGAGAGGACAGCACTGAGAACCAGTCACTTGGTCCAGTGCAAAATCACCCGCTTGGGCCATTTTGGCCCTTTGGGACTTCCGTAGCCCATAGTAAACGTGTGTGCTCACCCAAAGCAGAGGATTCTTATTTGAAAGTTCACTGGCGAGGTTCTCACTTAATTGAATGTGAGAAGGGGTTAACAATAAGTAAAAGTATGACAAAAGTAAGAATAGCAAAATTTAACACAACAGCAAACAACAAATGCTGACAAGGTTGTGGAGAAACTGGAACCCTTATTCATTGTTGGTGGGAGT